CTTAAATGCTTAAAGTTACAAGAAAATTACGCAAAAAAAACTGAAAATTTCATATAAATTCAGAAAATTTCACGGAAATTCAGAAAATAATTTTTTTTTTTTTTTTTTTTTTTTTTTTTTTTTTTTTTTTTGAAAAATTTGTATTCGTTTCGTTTTTATTGCAAAACAGAAGTTATTTGAAAAATAATCCTTCGTATTTTCACAAGACACAACTTCATAAGATACAGAGAAGTAGTAACTGAATTGTAATTGTACCTCGGTTTTAAGCAGTCTAATATCTTCCAACTAGCCATCAATAATAACAGTAATGAGTATGTGATGGAATTGATGTCACTTTCAATAATACTCCTAGATATGCGCAGTGTCGAGCTATTTCTACAATAAGATTCTTTCTACGTGTATCAAAGCTTCTCTTCAATCAGTTTTATTGTACAATTACATCGTCTATTATTGACATCTAGAACTTTTTGTAAAATTCATGCCTAAGTTGACATTATGCATTCTAACACAATTTCTCTCACACTTTCAAGGAATTCAGACACTTAATTCTGTATTTCCCATTTTTTGAAGAGCTACTGACGATTTCCATTGTGTAATTATTTTTAAGTGCTATAATATTCCCCTCCGATTGCTTTTAGGTCTTCATGAGATTAAAAAATTAGGTGCTACTTTGGTAGACGGTTGCACGGATTTTTGGCGATTTACGTTGGCACAATTGTTGGCGCGATTTCTACAAACGTCAGCCATCTTGAAAAACGCTGTTTTTACGCATAGTAAAGTATTCGAAACTTAAAAAAAAAAAAAAAAAATATCGTTAGAAAAAAGGATTAATTTTTTTGTTGAAAACGTCGTTTTTTAAGATGGCAGGCAAGTGTAAATAAATACATTTACTATGAGTATAAAATACTAAATTAAGGTTATTATTACTTTCATATAGCAAAGAAGAGAATAAAAACACCGCTATAAAAACATTGTGCCAACATTTAATTAGATTAAAATATTACTGAAATTGAATATCGAAATAAAAAACATCATCCAACATTTAAAAGAATTAAAAGAATTAGAATATTATTAAATTTAAATACTTTTAAAATACGTTATATAGAATATATATATGTACATATATATATTATATAGAATAAATACATTTACTACGAGTATAAAATACTAAAGAAAGGTTAAATTATTACTTTCATATAGCATAGAAATAGAATAAAAAATACCACTATAAAAACATTGCGCCAACGTTTAATTGGATTAAAATATTACGTAAATTGAATATCGAATTAAAAACCATCATACCAACGTTTAAAAGAATTAAAATATTACTTAAATTAAATACTTTAAAATAAGTAAATAAGAACGCTTCGTACACTAGAGCTAAAATGACAGCAATTAGTTTATTGTCGGTAAAAAAGGAGGAATGTCTAATAATTTTCTTACCGTTACAGCGGTTATTTCTTCCAACATGATCACAATTATCAATACCATATATGGCCGTCCTCAGAATTCGGCTCGTCTAACGGTCTTCATCTGTGATCCTACATTTCTCGCACTTTATTGAAGAAGAAACAATTAACGACAGGTTTCCTCGAAAAATTTAAAATAAATTTCCTCTGACCCTTATAAGCAATTTATAAATAAATCTTTGATTAGGAAAGCCAGGCTGGCGAAAATAAGGTCTCAAAGGACAATTTTTTTGATTCCGATACCAAAAATTCTTGGGTACTTATCAAAAACAACATTCATCTTTGAAAGGAGACATATCTGTTACCTATGAAATCTAAGGAATTCGAAGAGATATGAATTAATTTTAAAATGGCGCGGTAATTGCACAAATTTTCAGCAACCTTGTCAGGGAGCTTATTACAGCTCATTAATGCACAAATATTCTAGTAACCAATCAGGAGAGCTGATTACATCACGCCTAGAATTAAAATTATTTAAATAATCATACATAATAAAATCATTTTAAAAAAGAAATGCAAAATTAAATTGTATTTTAATATTAACAGCCATAAATAATGTTTAAAAAACATTAGATTAAATTTATAGATATTAAAACTAATTACTTTTAAAGCAAGGTGACGTCACTGATTACATCATCCACCAGCACAAAATTTCGTAAAATATGATAAAGAATAAAATTTTTATTTCAAATAAAAATGCAAAATTAAATTGATTTTTAATATTAGAAGCCATAAATAATATTTAAAACACGGAATTTATGCATAATAACACGCATTATTTTTAAATAAAAATGTCAACAAAGTATCGGTTACCATAAATAACTTATCCAGCAATGGGTTTACCATAAGTCGTATTACTCGCCAAAAGAAAAATTGCCAAAAACTCGCCAAAATCCGTGCAACCGTCTACCAAAGTAGCACCGAGTCACTTTCTGATTGGCAAACATTTGAAGGAAAGAATTGTCGAAGAGGAATCTTCAGTACACATGTTGCTCTTAACGATTTTTAATCTGATAACACCTTTCTTTAACCACTTGTTTCTGGCAAATAAACTGTGTCTTTTTGTAACACAGTGCAGTTTCGTAATATGCGTTTTCACAACTTGCGCAGTTACCAAACCTGTAGCATTTGAAAATTATTTTCGGTACTTTTCCGTTTCGCCGGCGCAAATCTCGCCAAGCAGTCTTTATTGGCGACAACATACAGTATACACATAAAAAATATTTAAAAAATGTTAGTTCTAAGAATTTTTTATTTTGAAGGCATAAACATTTTAATATCGCTTAAAATTTTATAAAAAGCCAATAAATAAAGACAATAAATTTGTAAAAAGACATTAATTTAAGAATTTACTATGCTTTCATGGTTCAACATCCTGATTCGCCGGTTCCATATTACGTGACCCCAAGCGATCTCATCTCATGTAAACTACAAAAATCTAATGCTCTCAGTAATTATCTACATTAATTTCAAGTTAAATCTTAATTTGGAACACAAGTTTAAATGCAACAAAATATTTCAATTCGTACGAATAGCTTACTCAGAAATTATGTTAAAACTGCAGTGCTTTACTTCGCTAATGCATTCTCATTAGAATGGATGAATTTAAGCCTTGACTTTACCTTTTCTATATTTTCGGCTTCGGGTAGGGTAAGCGCTGTGATTGCATCCTAATTGACTTAATTACCGAAAATGGCCTTAGACATAAAACTGTACTATCTGATAAAAATCCTATGTAATATGCCAGTATTGAAAGAAACAATCAATCTGATAAGAAAAAGCTGCGACTTGTTTCTAAAATGAGGCGTAAAAGGTTACCAGCGAGAATATTCCGTTTGGAATCGGTTGTACCATTATTGGCGACTTTATCGCTTGCGCCGGCATAACGGAAAAGTACCTTATTTTCTTAATGCATAATCACCAACGTCTTCAAAGAGGTTTTTAACATTAAAATTTACACGTATCGAATACCGAATACATTCTACTCCGTAACCTTCAGTTGATCTTGTTTTACTCTTTGGCATCATAAGAACACCCAGAAATACCTTCTGTAACTTTTAATTCCTGCTATTTTCTCGGTTTCCGTTTTAAACGTTTAAACTTGGTACTAAAGTAAGTAGGTTAGCTTCATGATACCTACTGAATGAAATTGTCTGGCATAGTACCACTGTAATGTTTTACAATAACTTCATATTCAAGTTATAGTTTCGTCTCGTGTAAGTTCTTCCAATTTTTATAAACATGGCAAATTAAATACAGGAGATATGCAGTAAAATCAGTCATTAAACACATACTTATTAATTGCCAGACCAACACTGGATGAGAGAGGATGAGACCATTGAATTCTTGCAAATAACTCACGTTCAAATAGAGGCAAAGTCTACTCACGTGGTTTTTCTCAAGCATTTTTAGTTTTGTACCGTACGTCGATTTCTTCCAGAAGGGAGTCCATGAAGGCATCACTGCCATAAATTAAACGCCACTTGTGTGCTTATCTGTGATTGATTTAAGCAATCACATATTAACACTAGCTCAAGCCATATACCGTACTGAGTTACATTTTACAAACTGTAACAGGTAATACTATCAAATATGTTTTTCTTCCATGCAGATGTTGTAATCTTATATATATGCGGTTTAAGTGTTTGTCGCCGATAGTTTATTGGTTGCTTGCCTAACTGTAAATTGTTTTATTCCCCGTGCAGTGCAGCGCGTTACGAATATTATGAGAAAGCTAAGCCGGGAGAATTAAAAATACAAGAGCACGTGCATTTAACATTTAATAAATAAATTTAACATCTGTTTGTCGCTGATAGTTTATTGGTTGCTTGCGTAACTATAAATTGTTTTATTCCACTTGCAGTGCAGCTCGGACGAATATTTTGAGAAATCTAAGCCCGAAAATTAAAAATACAAGAGCTCGAGCATTTAACATTTAATAAATAAATTTAATATCTATATATAATAGAATTCGGAAATATGCAACCGGCAAAAACCGGCAACGATGAAAAAACAAATAAAATGAAATAAATAAATATCTTTATTATATCTGGCTTAATTGACTGTTGTCGCCGATAGTCTATTGGTTGCTTGCGTAACTGTACTAGCCAATGGGGTGAAGTTGCCACGGCACAGGGTTGCCGTTGCAATTGAGATGTAGACAATTTCCTGTAAAACTTGCCTTTGCTATGACCATCCATAAAAGTCTCAGGGCCAAACGCTTAAGCGTGTTGGCATTTTTTTACCTGAGCCTGCATTTGGACACGGTCAACTTTATGTTGCGTGTTCAAGATTTAGTGAAAAAAAACGGACGTAAAATTAAAAATAATTGATGGTCCTCTGCATGTCCTGTTAACTTAAGAATGAGGGAAAGATCTACACAAGAAATGTTGTTTACAAAGAGACTTTTGTGAATTAACATTTAATTATTTAAATCACCTTTACTGATTGAGCTAGCGGTGGGCTCTTAAAGAAATGTACCGCCAGTTGTTTTCATTCATTGCACTCCACTTTAAGCAATAAGTAAGTAGAATGGGGAAACCCCGTGAGGCCAGCAAGCAAAGGGACGTCCTCGCCGCCTGCTCTGGGTAATTCAGTTTAAATTAGCAGACACCTTTGCAGAAATCATTTTAATTACAATTTATAATATCTAAAACAGCAGTCATTTCGTATGACCGCCAGGCTTTCTAGTTTTACATAAGCAACTAGCAGGTCTGCTTAAAAGTTTTTTTCTAAAACAATTAATGTTAAAATTATATGTTGTTTTCTCTTTCCTAGTGACTTGGAAAAAGGTAGGAAGATACTTGAATCGAGAATTCGAAAAGCCGTGAAGTGTGTTGTTTCTTGTGACCTTTTATCTAATGAGATTCTGAAGACGGAGGAATTAATTTCTCCAGAAGTTCAACCGCCTTATGATCTAATTATAGCTATGTTGACACTAGAACCTGCGTGTCCAGATTCTGACCACTTCCTTGCAGCTCTCAAGGGAATCAGTAAACTGCTTAGAAAAGGAGGAGGATTGATAGCTGCAGGATTCGAGAATGGAGGAAGGTGGAAAATAGGCGACAAATGATTTCCTTTCCTTCATCACAATGCACAAAATATCGTGCGAGCTCTAAAAGAAGCAGGCTTCGGAAATATCACTATCAAAATACATTACCCCCACGAATCTGGTATTTATTATAAGCATGACAGCATATATTGCTTTGCAGCAGAAAAATTATAGGTATATTACCAACCTATTTCCTTTCAATTATGATTTACGTGCTCGTCAAAAAGAGGTCAATGTATAAAAGAAAAGCATTTTGTATTTCTTCTTTTTAATTTTATTAAATTTACTGTTGAAAGATCAATGCATGATGTTAATATATGAGTCACGTGTTTATGTATATATGTATAATCAAATTCTTTAATTAATAATTTATTAGAAGATGATAAAGCCATCCCAGAAAAATGCACATAATCGTGTAACAAAGCACAAATATTTAATTACATTTTAAATTTCGTTCACCATTTATTTATCAAATAATACATTAAAAGTAATAAAATGAAAGAATGAAAATCTGGAATTATTTAGAGTTAAATGTCACACCAAGGTTTCCTGAAGATTTTTTATTCTTTCGCTGAGTATGTTCAGCTATTATATTACTGTATGTCATGCTATTATGACGTGACTCAGCTGTCATGTCAATGTTTATCTACTTGGTGCTCTGTCCACTCTGTCAGTTTCCGTCGCAAGAGCTGAATGTAGTCAAACCCCAAAGGACTTGGTCGGTAATCTCTGATCTAGCCCCACAACAGCCGTAGGAACGGTTAAGACAGTACCAGTACGGACCCTGCCGAGCTCGAACCAACCCCCGAATAAACGGAAGCACTAGTCTTATGAAGACTGATTATATACCCGTGGTTGAGACTGCCTATGTACAGATCCTAGCCAGTACTCGAAGGAATTCCTCGGGTGGGCCCTTTCATAGGCAGGAGGCCACCATTATGAGTAACTTCTCTGAACCCAAGTAAGTACTAGGAGCACTCACCTCCCTCGTAGCAAAATAAATGTGATGTAATAAAATTACGCAAGCCATCTTTGCCTCCAGGTACCACGCCATTGGCTTCAATGTTTACTTGGTGCTCTGTCCACTCTGTCAGTTTCCGTCGCGAGAGTCTTGCTCAAAGTCTTGGAACACACAGAATCTAGTTCAGCTTCTCTCAACCAGTTGTAACAAAGCAAAGCAGCCGTCAGCGCGTTCTCTCATGATGGATAACAAACCTACAGGACTTTCTACGTGCACGATTCTCCAATGGGATGCCTGTAATCTTACCACAAAAGTAGCAGAATTCTATGATTTCGAGGTTAGTCGCAATGTAGATATAGCTCTGGTTACCGAAATGCATGCAAAGCTTCAGCATAGCCTAAGGCCTGTTAACTTCAACATGTAGAGATGTGATAGGCTTCGATACAGAGAAGGTTGAGTTGTCATTTACATCTGAAGGTCTCTTATCTTCTGCCTTATCAGCACTCATAATCAGAAAAGAAATGAAGTTGTGAAAAGTCTGGGTGTATTTGCCTGAAATATAGAAACAACGAATTTTGTGCTATCTATATCTCGAACCTACAGGCACCTACAGGCCGAATGTGCTAAAACGCAGACACAGTCATTAACTTTTTTATTAGTATTATCAACATCCTTGTCATTCAATGTAATCGACAATCTTTTTTCCGATTACGTGAGTCTGGTCGCCCAATGAGGAGCCAGTGTTTCAAATTCCTCCCTGACAAGAAGATTACGGACTGGATTTTGTTCTGGAACCTTACCTGCATATATCCTCTTAAATCTAACTTGCGCCCCTATCACATTCACCTACACGCGTGTCTAGGCGGGACATTTATCAGAAAGGAGATTCTGGTGGCATCGGTTTGAACGTGAGGGTTCCGAGAAAAATTAACACGACGGAGGCGATGTTTCTAGCCGCGGAAACGATGTCCCGGCTACGCGGGACATTTTGAAACTTTACTTAAAATGTTCCGTTTGCAGCTGTGTCCCGCGTAGAGATTAAACAATCAGACGAAAGTTCTGCTTCTGAAGTGTCACGGTTAATTTTCAGTATGGCGATGGCTGTAGTTTGACGGCGGGAACGATAGAAATGGAAGCCAATTTTATCGAAAAAATACTAAATTTAAATCTGTATGATTTGTGTTTATATTATAACTGTTTAATTAAAAGTATTAAAATGTTTATATATGGATTAAATTTATAATCGCGGAAATTTCAGAGTAGACAGTGTTTTAGGACATTCTTGTACTTTTGATGGCTTGTTTAGAAATGTTTCCTCCCCAAAATTCGCTTAATTTGTTATATTTCACATTGACCCATAACATACCATGTAGAAATATTATCATTGTTGTATATTAATAGAATTTGTTTCTACTAAGTTTTAGATGATTAATTTTTTAAATTCTGTTTATAAACGCGTAACTTTATTTTTTTACCAACTACGTAGAATTTAAATTGTGTATTGCATAATAAACGACAAACCGTAAACAACATAAAAGGTGCATAAATTTATTGTAAATGCTACATATTGAAACATTTACGGAATTTTTATTACATACAATGAAAAACATTTGTATATGCATTCATTAATAATCATTCTTAATTCTGAATAATAATTCATTAATATTTTCCATTACATTAATACTAATAAACATCCATCGACAATTTCTAAACCATCACATTTCTCTCTCTCTCTCTCTCTATGCACATGTGAATATATGACTTATTACAAGTGTATAATGAATATAAAAGTGAACATTGGCAGAAAGTTTTTTGAAGTCACTTCTAATTCATGTAATTGACAGCAACTGTACTCATCAGTTCTTTGCACATTATCCTGGGTATGGAATACACATTTAAAAAATAATTGATGAATATATACACGAAAGAGTGCATACGTGTTGTTTCGGAGATAATACATAATCATATCCTATGTATGATTTACATAGTATAAGCATGGCTTATGAATAACAAGAAATTTAGCAGTTATGCATTTGTAAAACACTTTATTACTTAAAACATACAGTGCACATCTGTTTATCACTTCGATGTCTGTTTATGCTTTCCACCACATTTCTGTTATCTTCCATAAATAACAAACACATTTAAAATTAAAAGAACCGCCCGGTGGCGAAGTGGCTAGCGCGTCGCGCAGCTGCACCCCAGGCCCAAGGTTCGATCCCCGGGCTGGGCAAGGTTGACTCAGCCTTTCTTCTCTTCAATGGGTCAATGAAATTAATACCAAGTTCGCTTGGGGACTAAAGGGGATCCTGCGACAAGCTGACCACTTGCCCCGGCCATATGCTGGTGTCCTCTGGGGCCCAAGGTCAACAAACAGATTTCAGAGCACTGCAGGCCGTGGCCCACTAGGGCTGTTGCGCCGCTGAGTTTAGATTTTTTTTTAATTAAAAGACTGTGGGAGATACAAGATGCACATGTAATTTGAAAGCAAACGTTTCTTTCGCCAATCTGAGCGATAATTGATTCCTGTTCGGCTTTTAAGTCTATTTACTAAGTGAGGATGGTAACCCAGCTACATTGGTTTCGTGGAAATGGGGATTCTGAGAAATATTTCTTTCAACCCCGTGTCCCGGCTAGGAACAGTAGATGTGATAGCTGTAGAGGCTTTACGGTATTATGGTTTCGTATTAATATCGTTTTAAAACTAATAATTAACGTATATTTTCATTATTGAAAAATACAAAAGTCAAGAAGCTATGTTGCACCTAAGTGTAAATCGTGTTGTGTCTCTTCAATAAGAAAAATTGAAAGTTTACGTTTAAAACATTTCAATTCAGTTTGCTTGTAGAGAATCATTTATGTTTCTAAAACATTTTATAGTAGTGGTTATTAGAGAAATGCACATGATTCTTGCCTCATTGCATTAAATATACCCATCTTTTTCCGTTCACTGCTATGATGAACTTTTATTGCTTAAAAGAATATCTAGACACCCCCCCCCAGATTGTATTGAATTAGCTGGCGTAAAAGTGCAGCGACGTATGAATTTTAACAATCAGTATTTAATTTAAAGAGTATTGATTCGGTGTCAAAAAAATGCAACTTATCAAGTTTAGGTTTCATTAAAATTTATGTATTTTTAATATCAAATATAGGAGCAGAATCATGCTTTTCTCCTTCTGATGAAAGGTGCCAGGTTTGAATATGTTATTGATTTTTAAGCATATTTTGTTGTTTGTTTGTTATATAACTCTGGGATAAACTGTTGTTTATTGGAGTTTATCCCAGAGTTATATAACACTGGAATTATAAATATCATTGCAAAATTATGAGATAGAGAAGAATTTGAAAAATCTGGAAATAATTCCAGCTTTTGAACTATTACACTAATAGGCCGGATCCTGTTCTGTCTGTCACCTCCCCTTAAAAGAAGGCCTAATTATTTTGCTCACATTCTGCATAGATAGTCATTAAATAATAACTATGGGTATGGAGTTGCTGCCAGTGGTATTATTTGTAATATAATCTCTGGGTTTAGAAGATTCCTAATGTATATTTAAGTCATGCAGCTTTTTAAAAGCAATGTATTGTAAACCAAAAATCTAATATCATTGTGTAAAACTCTTGCCAAATTGTTGCCTACCAGGCTCTTCGTATACCTAATTGATGCAAACTATTAATATTAGTACCAGTTGCAAAGTACTTCCTTCCTATTTTCTTCGATACTTTTGAATAAAACTGCTTTGACTCCTATTGACAGAGTCGTTGCTTTGAAATGTATTGTTACGATTTTTTATATACAGAAACAGTTTTAATGAAATTGTTGTATTTTTCGGTATAACGTAAGATGAAAAATCTAGCGAAGCTTTGCCGGGAAATAATACAGGGCCAAGTCTCTAATTAACATTGAATACATGGCTATCTCGTTAAATTGGCGAGATGCGATGTTGGCGTCTAATTGTTCCCGCCAAATCTGTCCAAACTGCCAAACCTTGTTACCGTTTGGCGACATTTTGGTCTGGTCCTTGAATAACTGTAATTGGTATTGTAATTCAAAAAC